CAGGTCAGTGGTTTGTTGCTAAACATAGGCAGCTTGATTCTGAAGTATGGGTCACTCGGGTGTGTATTCAATTGCCCTTAGTCTTTTGACCTAATATTTTATTGTCCCTGAGATAATTGTGAAAAGTACCAGAGGAACCACACATGGACCTACCTCAAACATATATCTGTATTCCCTTGAATTGATTCAGAACTACTGTATCTCACATAGTATTTCTGTTCATCATAATCCCAGACTAGTAAGGGAGCAAAGTATACTGGATACAATGGGGCATATGACTCAATAAAGAATGTATACAGTAGTATATAATGCTGTTGTTGCTTTTACTCAGTGTTTGGATAATTTAATACATAGGTAGACACTTCATAAAGAAACGTCCTTTGCTTGGCTACCACCTGCCATTCACTTTCACCAGAAAGATGAGAGGGAGGGTGGCCAGAGAGATACAAGCACTGTTGATTTTGGGCTCAAGGACAGAGGTTTGAGGTCCCACAGGCCTTTTGATCTCAAGATACAAGCATCATCTCCTCTGGAAAATAGGCAATAGTTTAGTAGTAGTAAGTTCGTCATTTACCTGAGCAGCTGATAAAGCATTCAGTTTCATTTTCCAGAGTGCTTTTGGTCCAGAGAAGCATTAACTATGAATGGGAAAGCCACTATCACTTATCGCTATGCTTACTGGGTGATTAGGAGAGTTGTAATCTGAAAAAAAGTAAATTTCCTTCGCTGTGCTTCTTGTTCCTACTTATCATGTAGCATTGTGGCTGAAATAAGTTTCTTTAAAAAAAACACACAACAGTAACAACAAGAGCTGTGCAGCCTTGTACACACAAGCAGTGGGTGAGTCTGCTCTCAGATTTTGGCTGGACAACGATATGTGTTTGTCACAACATGTCTGTTAAAAAAAGTACAAGGAAGATTGCTTTCTCTTTGCAAGAATGTTTAGTAAGATGAAGAAGAGAGAAAGGTGTAACTCGATTGGTTTCAGTGTTGGGCAGGAGATTCATGTTTTCTGCCTTAAAAAAAAGTGACAGCATGGCAAGCATATTGCTTGGTGAAGCAGATTGCTGACCTGTTAGCTGTGCAAGCCTGATACACCAGCTTTGTAGTGGAACAATATCCATGGGTTCCACTTGGCAACTGGTTTTTTAAAAGGGGGAGGAGGAAAGGGAGCCTCAATCTTGACATTGTCTAGTAAGTTGAGATAGGGTGTAGATACGAGAGAGGTTTTTGTAAAGACCTCCCAAAATACCTCAACCAACATAGGCAGTGATTCTTGGAACTGTGGTCTGAAAAAGTAACTTCTTGAGTGAGTAACAAGCAACCCAGAACAGTAAGAATGGGAGAAAAAAAATCCATCAAAGATTAAGCTGGCTGAACAAAATTGAGATGTTAGTTTCATTTAAAAACAAAACAACAAAGCACCAACAGCATGATGCATGAGGGGGCACTTTGCCTGGAAGCAGTGCCATTGGGAGAGGTCATGTGCTGAACAGGGACTAATGGAGACCAGGCATGCTGGCCAACAGGTGCTGCGTGTCTGTGCAGACCTCATGCTTTCCCTGCTAGCTCACAGTGTCTGCCCATAAGGAAACAGAGTTATTTTTCTCCTGTAACTCAGTACAGGAAGATAGTTATTTCCATTGGACTACAGTTCTCATCAACCCCAACTGGTATGGCCAGTGATTCAGTGTGATGGGGATGATAGTCCACAATATAGCAAGGGCACCAGTTGAAAGGGCACTGCTGTATTTCTATTCTGAAGGAAAAGAGGAGAAGCCTAACAGTACAGCACCTTTTTGTGCACGATGAAGATTGCATATGGTTGAAAACTTAAGGTTTTTTTTATTGCAGTTGTTCATTTCGCTGTTGCAAAAAAAGGAAGAATTTCATAAAAAGTATGTAGGGACATTTTTACAGTTAAGCACATATTATGTGTGTACTTTTTCCTGTCCCACAAATAATGGAGAAGTACTTAACTTTCACTGGACCATGCCCAGCCTCAGAACAGGTTATAAAAAATGTTCTGAAATATGACTGTTATTTAAGTTAATAGCATCGTTTACAGGCTTAATAACTAAACATTTAACTGCAATAAAAATTAAGTGTGTGGAATGGAGCACTTGACAGGCGTAAAAGTGTGTGTTATTCTACTATTTCATTGGACTAGCTATCTTAAGTACAGCACAGATCGTTCTGAAAGAGTAATACCGTTGCCTAGTTCTGGTGGGTTTGCCAGCTGTAGCCCTTCTACAGAAGGGGGGAGGGTGTCTGCCTACAGTAATTTGTGTTTCTTGATTATAGTTGTAATCTGGAACTACCCTGAAAGATTTTCAGATGTTACAGGTCCTGCAAAGTACACTAGTTAGATTGTTATCTGGTGCTTTAGACAGAGACCAGCAGTCGAAGTAGAAGTGTTTCTCTGGGGCTTTTAAAGTAATGTTGTCCTATTTGTTTTTAAAAGTCTCTTGTTTTTCTGTGGAATTTCTATCAAATCATATTGTATCTTGCTTTCAGGCAGTTGAAGGGCTAATTTGTTGTATCTGCTTTCAAGTCCTTGATACGCAAAGTGGCATCTAAACACTTCTTTTGGGAAAATAAATGGAGAATAATAAAGGGATAGTGTGAAGGAGAAATAATAGGTCAGAAGGAAAATGATGAGAGTGTGCCGTCTATCCAAATTGGAGAACCATTAAAGAAGAGAAAAAGCAGGGAAGCAGAAGCATTGATTATAAAAGGAAAAGAAGAGAAAGAAGTAAAGGTGGAAGTTTGTTTGTGGAGGAAGGAAAGGGAAAGGAAAGGGGAGGAGTTAACCTTACCCATGTGGGAGGAAGATAAAAGGGAGGAGGAAAAAGTAAGAGTGTTCAGAGTAGTGCGGGAAGAAATGAAGAAAGGAGGAGAAGTTGAATATAAAAGAACACGGGAGTTGTTGGAAGATTTCCCCAACCTGAAGGTGGGAAGACTATTGCCTGATCATGATCCTAAAGAGAAAAAGGTGACTATTACTGAAACAGAAGAAAGGACAGTAGTAGTTTTCCCGAGAGGGCAAGGTCATTGGGGGAGGGTGATCTGGCCAGACACCACATCCAATCAACTGCCATGCGAGGGGGATTGGGCCCGACATCCCTGTTGCGACACAGTCTGCGCCATGAGGAATGCTCCGTTGAGGAAGCCAACTGTCAGAGCGATTCGGACCAACCCCACAGTAAACCCTATCAGTTCTCCATCTGGAGAGTTACCATCTTCATATGAACAATTGCCAGATTTAAGTTGTTTTGACCCTGTTGAAGTAATTGTTGAATCTCCGGATGTTAACTTTAATAAATTTGTTAATCATTCAAACGACTCCTCTCCCAGATTTAAGTTGTTTTGACCCTGTTGAAATAATTGTTGAATCTCCTGATGTTAACTTTAATAAATTAACAATCGTTCAAACAACTCCTCTCGGTTATTTCCCACCCAAAGAGAGGAACTGCCATCCCTTCTCCGGATGTTAACTTTAATAAATTTGTTAATCATTCAAACGACTCCTCTCGGTTATTTCCCGCCCAAAGAGAGGAACTGCCATCCCTTTCAACTGAACCCAATCACAGATAGTTTAAAAGTGATTCAGTTGGACACGACTAAACAACTAGACGACGCCATCCCTTTCAACTGAACTCAATCACAGATAGTTTAAAAGTGAATTTGATGTGGCTTTTGCACTTACCATTTCAATTGTCATTTTCTAGCTCTGGGAGGTTTACATCCTCATCCCAGCTCATGCTGTAATTTATTAAACATTATACTCTAATGTAGATCCTGGACCCAAAGCTTCATTGTATCCAGCTCCAAGATATTCAGCTACTCAAGGCAGGCAATGTGGTTGATCAATTTGGGAAGTGAAATATTAGATATGGGGAAGAAAGGACTTCCTCTAATATGTTTTTTTCCCCCCGTTAAAGTGGATCTGGAAAAGGATCTTTCAACCACTAGGAAAAAGAGTCAGAATTGAATGCCAGCCCATCTTGAGGGCCAGTGCTTGGAATAAGATAGGAGAATGACTTAATTTAACATACTTGTCATAGGTTTCAACAACGGCCCTGACCCTAACTAACACCCAAACAAGCCACTAGAAATCCATATTTGAAAAGCAGTACTCTTGAGATGTCTCTCTCTAGTCACTACCCATTTGGAAAACTGATGGGCTGAATCACTTTCATAACATCTGCTTCTGTTGTTTTGAAGTCCATGGTCTTACTCATTGTTTGAGTTTCCATTGAACTTTGTGTTTCCTGATAAAATATGTGACATTCATTGTCTTTTTGTTAATTTTACAAACCTGTAGTCCTTGCATCTGATACTTGACAAATCCCGAAGACAAAATTTCCTCCAACACAAGTGAGCATATGTACCAAAATCATTCCCTATCAGAATCAATTCTGAATAAACACCCCTTGTTAAAAAAAAGTCACTTTCCACTAAAAATGTATGCTTAGCTGAATGTTGCATAAGTGGACGTTTTAAAATCAATTTTAGGTGTGCTAAATCCAACGCAAAAATAGGAGCATTACAATGTGTAGCCAAGCCCTTAGTCCGCTGTAGCACAAGTGAAATCAGAAATCTTGCTCACCTTTAAGACAAATCAGTTTTATTTTTCTGGAGGTTTCACGTGTCTGATCAGGTGCTACAAGAATTATGTATGCAATGCTTCATTCATGTTATTTTTTGTGGTTACAGTTGAGAAGCCCGCACATTTAAAGCTCTTGAAAATTCAGCCCAGTACTAACTTGAAAGAAGAATGTACAATATTCAGTGACTTATCTTTAGACATGAAAAAAGTTAATGGATTTCTGGGATGCCCGGTTTGAATAGTTCTGGTTTAATTTGTTTATGTACTTACCTATGTAGTGGCTTAGAAACAAACCTTTAACATTTTGTGCTAACATACAAGGATGTTTTTCCCATTGAAAATGGCTACAAAGACCTAATGGTGCTTCTTTTTTCTTTCTTTCTTTCAGTTTTCAGTGGTGCCAGGAAAAACATATTGCTCCAGAAGGAAATTGAAATGGATAAAAAAGGCAGTGGTTGCTTCTTACTGATTATTCTACTAATTGTAAGTAAGCAATGCAAAATGAAAACATTAATTAAACACTTTCATCTTCGTTGTAAAGGCCAACAGAAGGTTTCGTGTGCTAAACTACTTATATTTTAATCGTGTTGCCCTACCCTTGAGTGCAGCGTAGTTTTTCACAAACTACCAGTGAGGAGAAGCCTATTCAAATCCGGACCTTCTCCTGGAGAAGGGGAGGGTTAATCCCTACCACTGTGATACCAATTCAGATTGGATTCCTTGTGCCTCTAATTTTAATTGCAAAAAGGTTCTACTGCTCCAGATGAGACCTGTTCTAAAATGCAAATTACAGGCCCATGGAAGGGGAGCAGATTATTCCAGACTGGGACCCCAGTGGGAAGCAAACAGCTAAAGCAAATGCGTTAGGATCCATGTGTGTGTAGCAGGTATGTGGTTTGCTGGTAATTTACGTAAAACAATTCTGTTTTCAATGGTTTAACTAAATTAGGCAGTTCTGACATGTAGAAAAGTCTCCCTATGTTCGGGATATCATATTGGCTGAAATGCTATTGCTTAGATAGTGAGCACTACATTTCAAATAGGCAGTGGAGGGTGCTAATACTCATGGCAGAAAAAAAATAGATATAAAAATAGTTCTTACACTTGCATGCAATATATTTTTATTGACGTTTTTCAAAAACGTAATTACTATATTAAGATTTTATTTTCAGTTTCACCGTGCAAAAGTTAACTGGATCTGATTTAGAAAGCAGTCCAGATTTAAAAAAAAAAAAAAAAAAGCAGGGAATTTTAGCGCAGTCCTAACATATTTACTTGGAACTCAGTAGAGCTTTTATTCCCTAGTTAAGTATGTTTAGAATTGCAGTTATAATAGTGCTGCACTTGCAGAAGCCTATTTTGTAGACACATGCTTCAGTGGCTGGAGTCGGTATTTGCATAAGGTTTGCAGAATTTGTTGCTGCTAATTGACAGGATGCTAGGACACATCTCAGTTGAGCAGGCACAAGACTCAGATGTGCCTTGTCAGCTCACCAATTAGCAACAACTGCCATAGCAAGTTATGCAAATCTTAGGTAAATATTAAAAAGATTCTGACTATTGTATCATTATTCGGACAGTGACTAGTCTTTACTATAACTTTCTTTTAATGTGACCGCCATATATTTAAAGTGTTGAAGTGTTCATCAGGTACCTTAATATGTTTTAGCATTTGAAGAATCTGCAGTTTTGATATGTACTTACTTTTATTTGTGAATGTGTGGGTAGATACGTATTAGTTGAAGTGGAGCTTGTCATCATTTATGCACCAGCCGGTCTATGTGTCCCTTTGGCAAGTTTCCCATAGATGGAGTGTGTTTAATAGCACTTATCAAGAATCCAGAGTACTATAAAATTTCCCACTTCTGCAGCACATCTTTGGTGTCTTCTGGCAGGAGAGGAACTTACAATTGATGCACAGAATTCATTCACTAAGTGCTGCTGAGATATAAAGTGAAAGACAGAGGGGTAAAGGATGCACAAAACATACTCTGTACTAAGTACTATTGTACTTAGAATTTGCATTCTGTTTGACATTGAGAGTTTTTCTGTTCTACTTTATTTTTCAAGGATTGGAAGGAAAACATTTATGGCATTTGCTTTAAAGTTCATAACAATGGAGTGTTCAATACTCTGTTGATGTTATTGATGGAAGCACCTTTACAGATGCTTGCTCATTATATGATGTGTTTTCAGGGACATTAGTGCATTCTGAGTCTTGGTCATAAAGATTGTCATGTTCTTCTGTTAATCGATTGTATGGTAGTTATATATTATATAAGAGTCAACTGAATTTTAATATTAATTGAGACCACATTTGCTTCTATCTAGACACCGCTAACATCTTTTAAATATAAAGAGGTTACCAACATTCAAGAACTCTGCTCTTTTATACCATAGTTTAAAACGAAAGACACCTTTTGTAACAGCCACTTAATGCGTGATGGCTTGGTGGTCGTACGTATGACGTCATTTACTTTTACTTTTAGGAGTGACATCATATGTACGGCTGCTAAACTGCCACATAGGACATCAATTAATCAGTGCTCTTCCGAAGGATTATGACTGATCCCTGTCATCACATAACAAACATCCTGATCTGAAATTGTGGGTTGTTCATTCCTACTTGAAAAATAATACTTCTCTGTATGTTTAAGTTAAAGACTGGGAACTTCAGATCTTGCTGGGGAATCGTGTGGTCCTCAATCCAGCCCTCTGGATTTCCCCAGATTTATTTATTTATTTTTTTATTGGACTTATATACCGCCCCATAGCGCTACAAGCACTCTCCGGGCGGTTTACAATTTTTAATTATACAGGCTACACATTCCCCCCCCCCCAGCAAGCTGGGTACTCATTTTACCGACCTCAGAAGGATGGAAGGCTGAGTCAACCTTGAGCCGGCTACCTGGGATTTGAACCCCAGGTCGTGAGCACAGTTTTAGCTGCAGTACAGCGTTTTAACCACTGCGCCACACAGTTCTTTCCCCATAGCATTATCCTTTACAGTATATGGGTTTTCCCCTATTTTAAAAGGTTAAAATTGCTCTCCTAAGACTTTGGAGCATTACATTAAAATATGCTAATATTTTGGAGGCTGCAGTCATATCTTTGGCCATGCCCATGCCTAGTGTGTAGCTCCCAGTAAAAGGAAAAGTTACATTTGTGGTTCTGTGCCCTGGCTGGCATCTAAGGAACTGAGCCAAGAGTTCTGCGTACTCAAGAGTGATTTTGAACTTGTGTGTCTCAAATTATCCCACACCCATGGCAAACTGTCAACAAAAGAGACATAAAAACCAGGAAGCTAATAAATGGATGTCTGCATTTCAAAGCAAAAAATGTGAAACAAAAATAACTCGACATGCTATCCTTGATGTATTAATGACCCATGAGAGGGCCTTTTCAGCTGTGGCTGAAAGTGGCAATTTTGGAGCACTCACCCTAGGAAAGACGGCCAGGTTTGCTGTCCAATATGGTCAGTTGAATCCTATCAGATAGTGTCTGTCTCAACATAGTTGTAGTTTTAAAAAAAATCTATTCTAATAAAAAAAACATAAAACCATAGAAAAATGAAGTTGGAAGGGGCCTACAAGGCCATCAAGTCCAACCCCCTGCTCAGTGCAGGAATACAATCAAAGCATATCTGCCAGGTGATTATCATGTTTTTCTTGAATGCCTCCAGTATTGGAGCACTCACCAACTCCCGAGGTAACTTGTTCCACTGTCGTACTGCTCTAACAGTTAGGAAGTTTTTCCTGATATTCAACCAAAATCGGACTTCCGGTAATTTGAGCCCATTGTTATGTGTCCTGCCTTCTGGCATGATTGAGAACAGATCCTCTGCTCTGTATGCTTTTCAAGTATTTGAAAAGTACTATCGTATGTCTCCTCAGTCTTCTTTTCTCAAGGCTATACATGCTCAATTCTTTCAACCTTTCCTCATAGGGCTTGGTTTCCAACCCCCTGATCACCCTTGTCACCCTCCTCTGAACTTGTTCCAATTTGTTAGCATCCTTCTTGAAGTGTGGTGTCCAGAACTGGCCACAATACTCAAGGTGAGGCCTAACCAGTGCTGAATAGGGGGTAGTAGAGGGGGACTATCACCTCGTGGGATTTGGAAACTATACTATTAATGCCGTCAACCAAAATCTGACTTCTGGTAACTTGAGCCCATTGTTATGTGTCCTGCCTTCTGGCATGATTGAGAACAGATCCTCTGCTCTGTATGCCTTTCAAGTATTTGAAAAGTACTATCGTATGTCTCCTCTGTCTTCTTTTCTCAAGGCTATACATGCTCAATGCTTTCAGCCTTTCCTCATAAGGCTTGGTTTCCAACCCCCTGATCATCCTTGTCACCCTCCTCTGAACTTGTTCCAATTTGTTAGCATCCTTCTTGAAGTGTGGTGTCCAGAACTGGCCACAACACTCAAGGTGAGACCTAACCAGTGCTGAATAGGGGGTAGTAGAGGGGGACTGTCACCTTGTGGGATTTAGAAACTATGCTTCTATTAATGCAGCCTAGAATAGCATTTGCCTTTTTTTTGTAGCAACATCACACTGTTGGCTCATATTTAGCTTGTGATCTATGACAATTCCAAGATCCTTCTCGCTTGTAGTTTTGCTGAGCCAGGTATCCCCCATCTTGCAACTGTGCGATTCATTTCTTTTTCTGAGGTGCAGTACTTTGCACTTATCCCTGTTGAATCTCATTCTGTTGTTTTCAGCTCAGTGCTCCATCCTATCAAGGTCATTCTCAATTTTGTTTCTGTCTCCTAGGGTATTGGCTATTCTGCCCTATTTTGTATCATCTGCAGATTTGACTAGGATTCCCTACACGCCCTCATCCAAGTCATTAATAAAAATATTGAAGTGCACTGGGTCCAGGAATAAGCCTTGGGGTACCCCACTTGTTACCTCCTTCCTGTTAGAGAAGGACCCATTTATTATCACTCTGAGTACAATTCTGTATCCACCTGACACTTGATTTATCCAGCCCATGCCTAGTTAGCTTGCTAATCAGGATATCATGGAGCACTTTTTCAAAAGCTTTGCTGAAGTCAAGATATACTACGTCTCCAGAATTCCTGATCAAAAAATGAGATCAAATTAGTTTGGCAGGATTTGTTCTTGACAAATCCATGCTGCCTTCTAGTTATTACTGCCTTGTTTTCTAGGTGCTTTCATAATGAACGCTTTACGATCTGTTCCAGAATTTTGCCTGGAATTGATGTCAAGCTGACTGGCCTGTAGTTTCCAGGTTCCTCTTTTTTGCCCTTTGTGAAGATAGGGACAACATTAGCCCTCCTCCAATCCTCTGGCATTTCACCCGTTTCCCATGATTTCAAGAAAACAATGGATAGCAGTTCTGAGAGTTCTTCAGCCAGTTCCTTCAGTACTCTCGGATGCAGTTCATCCGGCCCTGGAGATTTGAACTCGTTCAAGGTGGTAAGGTATTCCTTGACTATTTGTTTATCGGTCTCCAG